ATAATTTTTTATTTTATTATTCTGGTTTAAACTTGTACACAATAAAGACCTTTTTCTATCCTGATTGTGGTTGCGATAAGAGTATTTGATGTGGTGCTATCCGAAAGAATAGCTCTGTCTCATCTGCATTAAAAATGTTTTCTAATAGATATTCTTTTATTATTTCACGAAATTTTATTTTTTGTTTTGGAAGTATTTCTATTGGTGCACTATTGGCTTCTCTATGTAACCGATAGTTTCATAGCTTATTCCATTTTGTGAACTTATAGACCCAACTATTAGAAAATTTTAATACGCTATCTGGCAAGCCTAATGCCCAGGCAAAAAATGTAGCCTTTTCTTTAATGATTAAATCTGTCAAAAATATTTGACTACTTATAACCTGCTCAACCCAAAGTTGCATGGCCTTATCTAATAATGGGAACTTAACTTTGTTGTGATGAAAAGTTGTCATGCTAGTTTCGTTATTTTCAATCGCCAACTATTTTTTTTTTTCTTTTAAAATTTTTGAAATTGTTGAGTGATCAATATTTAAAGTTGAATTTTTTTGATTAAAATAATTTGCGATATTTGATTGTGTTTTATGCGGAAACTTATTGCTATACTTGCAAATTTCACGCTTTAAGCTATTACTAATTGCCATTTTTGCTCTTTTTTTTGATATTATTATATATTCTTGAAAGTAAAAAAAACTCTACAGTGAATTTAAACCTTAACCAAGACAAAGCCTTGACTATGGCAAAGCCTTGACCCTGAATACGGCAAAACTTTCAAGTTAATTACGGTGAAATCTTGGCCCTGAACACGGCGAAACCTTGTTTTTAAACACAGCGAAACCTTGACTCTGAACATGGCTAAACTTTAACCTTGACCATGGCGAAATCTTAATTAGCGAAACCTTGATCTTGACCACAGCAAAACTGACCTTGATCATGGCGAAACCTTGACCTTGACTGCAACGAAACCATGATCACAGAGATGTACCTGCTGCGAAAATTTGACTGCAGCAAAATTTGAACACAGATTTTTATAGCAAAACTTGAAACATAAAAAAAACCTTGATTATAA